TCCCTCACTCAATGACTTAACAAAGTTTGATTAAAACACTAATAATTATAGTAGAGGCAGCACTAAATAAAAATAATAAGACAAACACCCTCATTATCTATTGATAATGTCTCATGTTGTCAAAGAGATCTCAGACTTTTCCACACCAATGTGTCACTTCTTCAAAGTCACTGCAAACATCATGTGGAAAATTAATTCCGACATATGTATACACTTACTTTAAAGAAAGTTAAAGGTTGGTACAAAAAGCAAGACCTGAAAATTCAGTATTTTGCTCGTTGCACAGCCTGACAGAAAGACCTGATTCCTAAACTTTGAGATTACAGACCCAAGAGCAGAATAAGGACCATAAGTTACTGATGTCAGCCTAACTCTGTGCAACAAGAGAAGTGTACCATTACACATGACATTTAGTATCTGGCATAGACTTCATCAGTGTAGATCTGAGTTGCCTGTGGTTGAAGTATTCTGAGACATTTAAATCAAATAAACAACAGAAAAAAGGAAAGCCCTGTGGAATAAGGATAAATCACATCAACCTTCATTAGTCTCACAACTCACTTCTCCTACCCATTTCAAAGCTTGAACAAGCTAAATGTGTTCTCACTCACATGGCATTTTAAAAATGGTCAATATATTTTTGTCAAACTAAACACAACCATCATTTCAGCTGTCACTCACGCTCCTATTCCAGGAGCTCTTCAGACAAGAGAGTAGGGCAAACAATTGTGTTGTCATTTGCATTCTCACATCACAGCCGGGAAGTTTGCAAGTAACATGTGAAATATCAAAATTTCACAGAGCCTTATAATCCCAAATATATTTTCTGCTGAATGTTTCATGCTGCAGCCCAGACAGACACCAAGTGAGGTATCCCTGTGGCTGAGATGAAAACTACCAAGAACACATGCAAGGTGCTGGCCCTGAAAGCAGTGAGTTAACACTGCATGAGTCCAAACCATTACAGAGGAACTGCTGCTTCAAAGGGAAGAAGCCTTCACTCCTCACAAGGTGTCATTACAAGTTACACATTTCTCGTGACAGCTCCTGCAAGGTCAGCTCGTAGCTCGGACATACAAATTTTAAAACAACCAAAAGAGTTAATCTACAAATGCCCCACACACTTCAGGTGTTCCTAGAACTAGAGGTGGTGTTGTTACATTCTGCAGGTGGGTGAAACTGAAGCACAGAGGTCTCATTTTACTACAATAATCCATCTCAAAAAGAGGTTGTGAGATCTGAGTTTGGGCCTGATGGAGAATCAGACAGATCACCCAGCTCAACCAACTTCAGGTCTGCAAACCTGAGGGAAACTTCAACTTCAGCAAGCACAGCCACCACTCACCATCCTCAGCACCCCCACTGGCAACCTTAGGCACAAGCAGAGCCCTGAGAATAAAATCCTGCAATTCCTTCTGAGGGCAGGACCTCAGTGCTGATGCTAAAGCAAGGTCTTCCAGCTCCTTTTTCAGCAGAGAATGCTGCACCAGGCTCACACAGCCAGAACCTCCTCCCTCAAGATGTGCACTGACAAACTGCAGGGAGCTTGTGCTCTGCAGCATGCTTGGAGAGCCTCGTGTACCAAGCAAAAAACACCAATTCTCCTCCAACTTACAGTAGTGCTATCACTAAGTTTTAAACAGCAAAAGTCAGTTGGAAGCTTAGCCTTATAAGTAATTAATTTGTAGCAAGTGTTAACTGCTAAGATTTATGTATTTTCACGTGATTTACTATCATTAGAGCACCCAAACACCAACACTGCACGGAATGACAGAAGCAGGAACCAATGGTGAGTTCAAACCACATTAAAGGAGTCACTTCAGCCCTAATTCTCACAGCACAGCTGAGTGCTGCTTACAGAGTTTGGGTCATTCAACAATCAATCTCAAAATTCAACAATCAACAATCTCTAGAAATACATTTGATACATATTTCTATTTAATGCAGCCTAAAAGAATCCAAGAATCCAAGACATCCAAAATGTTGTTGGATTTGTTTAGTGGACAAAGCAAGATTTTCACTGTGATAATATCATTCTGTAAGCATTGCTGGAACAAAACAAAACCATCCCTCAGACAGCACATTTCCTTTAAGGGTTGAGGATTCACAGTGAGGAAAAACAAACCCAAAATGAGCATATAGCCTGAAGATGAAAGCTTTTTCTAAAGGGCTGCTACATTTGCAACATGCTGCATTTCTTCCAGGGATCAAGAGCAGGACTTCAGCATACCAGTGATCTCTGTGCCTTGTTTCAACCATGTGCAAATTTCTGCCAGAAGTTAATTCCCTGATTCCTATGAACTCAATTCCAGTCTCTGCATCTGAATCAAACTTTGCTGCACTGGCATTTCACACTAGGAAGGAACTTCACAAATCAAATTAAAACTTAGGTCTCCTGTTGTGAATAAATCCCAAAGATCCCATGAACTGTTGGCACCAAGAGGTGTCCTGTTGGAGCAGCTACAGCTCTGATGTGAGAGGCACTGGGTGGGTTGGGAAAGAGAAGCTATAATAAATGAAATTCCGATTAAACAGCTGTGCAATAACTGCACTCGTAAGTCTGTACTGATGCACACCTGCTTCACCTATTAGCAAGAAAATCCCTCCTGGAATCACACTGGACATGTCCACATGTTCTGCCATTACTCCTGAGTTATCAAAATAACATGGAAAATTTCCTCCCTGCACTTCCAAAGCGTGCCTCAGGATTTGTTGCACTTGTGTTACAGAGGAATTTTCTATTTAATCTTCAACACAGAGCAAACACTTTATGTTAATCTAAAGACATCTGTATTGGAAAAATGATCCAGCCTTGACCAAGGCTGCTGGCAACAAATACTGCTGTTTCTCCTGCAGGCTAATGCTCAAAAACAACTGATTGCCAACAATGAACAATGTTTTGGTACAGTCAGTGACCTCTCTGAAAACACGACACAGACCAGAGGGACCTCTAGGGAGGGCATCTAAGGCAAAAAACCAAGCTCACCCACACTTGAAACAGATTAAAATGGCTTCAAGACAGACTCTGCGTTAGAAGAAGGCGCAGAGCCTCCATCCTTTGGAGCACGCTGACAGCAGGATGCAGAAAAAGTCTGACTGACATCATTCACCCCCCACTCTCTCTCCTAGGATCCATTTCTTCATCTCACCACGTAAAACACGCAATTCTCCCTACGAACAGCTCTCCCCCTGAAACACAACCTCCCTCCTACCAGCAGCATTGGTTTTGATGACTCCTTTGATTTTTTCCCCTTAAGCACCCAACAGCATCATCTCCTTCTATGATCTCAGCCCAAAAAGTTAAGTACTTGTAAGCAGACACCATCCAATTAAATTAATTTCAATTTTTGCAGCTCCGTTACAACACACACACAAAAAAGTGACCCACACAGGAGTGAGGTATGACTAAACCAATGTAATGCAATTACCATGACCCAGCCCAATAAAGATTCTAGAATTGAAACAGAAACAAAAGCAGTGCTGAACCCATAAATTTATGGAAAGACTTAAAGAAAAGATCCTTTTAACAACCTACAGCCAAGTATTCTTAAGTGACACCCCTGAGATGAAGACACAAAAGCCCCATTAAGTAGCAATTCATAATCAAAACAACATTTGCAGAATAATTTTGGAAAATTATAAAGTGTTACAAGAAGAACTGTACTTCAAATGGGATTCAGAGCTTTCAAACTATAAAAGATCAACAGCCAAAGCAAGTAGGTTTTAAAAGAACAAAGAAATCAAATGCTACCTATTAAAATCCATAAAAACACAAGAGGCCCCAATCCCAGCCAAACCATGTGTCTAAGATGACTCTCAGAGTCTAAATGAATCATCACCTTTCTGGGGGTTTTTTGAGTGCTGCTTTCTCTCTTCTGTGTTATTTTGTTCTTTGGAGTCACTATTTTTAATTCTCCTTTAAGGCAGCTTTAACCTAAAAAAAAAAAAATAAAAGTAGTACTGAGCCGCACAATGACATAAAAGAGAGAAATGAAGAACAGAACTGGTTAATACAAAAGCCGCAACTGGACAAAATAGGAAGAGCCTTCACAAATTTGGAAGGAAAGGGGTTATTCATCAAAATCAGGATCTCTCCTGGAAAAGGAGGACACTCTCTCAGGATACGAAGGAGTTGAAGGGATAATAACTGCAGGACCGCTGCCCTGTCAAGGCAGCTCCTCCAGGGAATGGAAGTAAAGATAAGTGCTAAAGAATGGGACAGGAAGTAACCCAGAAAGCTGAGCTGCTGGGAAACCAAACCTCTGCCTCGCAGAGGAGTTCACGCTCCAGGAGCCGTCAGCCGCGCACACACACACACACACACACACACACACAAAAAGCCGGCCAAGCCCCGGCGCACAGCCCCGAGGCCCGGCGGCCGCCAAGGCACCGGGAGCGCCGCCGGGGGCTGGGGACGGGGACCCCGCTCCGCGGGCAGCCCCGGGGGCGGCCCGGAGCCCGCCGGGCGAGCGGGCAGCGGCGGCGGGGGGCTGCGCATCCGTTCCCAGGGGGAGCGCCGGGGGCTCCCCTCACAGCCCCGCACCCGCCGGAGGGGCTGCCCGGTGTGGGCGAGGGGAGGCCATGGGGTCGCGCCCCCCCCCTCCCCGCGCCGCGAGAGAGCCCGGGGCAGCCGGGGTTACCTGCGGGACCCGCGTGCCGGAGCGGGGCGGGCCGGGGGCCCCGGGCGCGGCCGCCCCCCGCGCTGGCGGCGGCGGCGGGCGGGGGGTCGGGGGGGCCGAGCCGAGCGGGGACACTTCGCTCCGGGCCGCCCCCCTCGGCTCGCGGCGGGGTCGGCGGGCGGGGACTGACCCGCGCCGCGGCCAATCCGCGCCCGCCGCGCCGGCCCCGCCCCCGCCCGCGCGCCGCCGCCGCGCCGCCATTGGCCGCCGAGCTGACGGCGGGCCCGCCCCCGCCCGCGCGCCGCCGCCGCGCCCCATTGGCCGCCGGGCTGACGGCGGGCCCGCCCCGCGGCTCCGCCCCGCTGCCGTAAAGCCGCGGAGGAGTTGGGGGGGGGTGACTTTGCGACAGGGGGCGGCGGCGGCGGCGGTGGCGGTTCCGGCGCTGTGACCGAGCGGAGTTTGGGCCTCGCGGTCCTCCGGGAGCGGGTGAGTGGCGAGCGTTGTCCGGCAGCGGCCGCCGGGCGGCGGGGCGGGGACGGGCCCGTGCGCGCCGCGGCTCGGGGTGACTAAGCGGGGCCGCGGGTGTGCGGCGGGGGGGGAGAGGCGGGGACTGAGCGAAAGAGGCGGGGCCAGCTCTGAGGGGCGGGGTTTGTGGTGTGGGCGTGGCTTGGCTGTGAGGGGGCGGGGCTTTGGTAATGAGGCGCGGGCGGGCGGGGCTGAGGGGGAGACGGGCGGGGCTGAGGGGGAGAAGTCGCTGCAGGTGCAAGGAGTCCGAAGTGTGTTTTATTCCTTATAAACTACGATCCTTTCGTTGTAAGGACATCCAGAGCCTTCAGATTCATACCCAAAAGTCACAGGCTGAGCATTTCGCTTTATCAGATCTAATTTTGTAATGAAAATAAGAGGGGGTTTTGGATAATTTTTTTCTAGAAAAAAAGGGCCTTAAAGCTCATCTCTTTCCGTCCTTTGCCATGGACAGGGACACCTTCCACTATCCCAGGTTGCCCCAAACTCTGTCCAGCCAGGCCTTGGGCACTCCCAGGGATCCAGGGGCAGTCACAGCTTCTCTGGGTACCTGTGCCAGGACCTCACCCCCTTGCCAGGAACAATTTCTTCCTAATTTGATTGAATTAACATTGTTGATAGCACATTTTCTATTTTTTTTTTTTTTACTACAACTGAGTGATATAAGTGAAGAGCTGTAAGCTTCTTAACTCATTCTGTTTGCAACTCCACTTGACTTTGGTTTTGATTTAAAATCATTATTTATTATGAAAGTCACATACAAAACTGCCTTTTTTTTCATTTGTTTCTTACTTTCTGCGTAGTCTTCCTTTCCATCTTTTACATGATCAGTCTCTATATAAGGTTTTTAGAACTATTCCCTGTTGTTTATGCAGGCGTCTGGCTCTGTGAGGCGTTGCCTTAATTGTTTTTAGATGCTGTCACGAGTAACTCAGATAAATAATACAAATAAGGCTTGGAGCTTGTCACTGCTTTTCTTTACTCTTCAGCTTTGAGCTTTTCGCTCTCGTGCTGTGTCTGAAACAAATTTAGCCCTTGTCTGATATTTTCTCCCTCTTTGAAGTAAGTGCCTTCAAAATGAGCCCCCTCACTTTTCATTTCCTTCAATGGCTTACATTTGTGAACTGTTGTCATGTGTGAGTGAGAAATATCTTAGAGATGCTTTTGTGAAGTTTGCAAATTAATGGTAGAACACAAATGTGTTCTGGGAGGACCCAGGAAGGCACAGCCAACGTCGTGTGGTGAAGGTGAAATCTCCCAGTGGGTGTCCTAGAAAAGTTCTGAATCTCTCCTGTCTTAACCACCTTGCTGGATCATGTGAATTTGTGCATGAGATCTCTTCCTCTGCCACATAAGGTGATAATTCAAGCTGATCTCGAAAACAGGAGTAAATGTGTCGAGATGATTTTACTTTATTAGGTAGTCATTTAGGAAGAAATAAAGCTCAAGGATAGGAACAATAGCTATATAAAATATTCAGAGTGATTTCTGAAAAAAATTTATGCGGTTTCAGGTCATAAATTTCCACCTTAAGTAGAATTCTGAAAAGATTCTGCAAATGAAGAGGGAATTTATTGCCTGAAATACCAGATGTATTCTTAACATCTAGCAAAATGTGGAGTATGGGAAAGGATGGGGGAAGAGTTCTTGCTTCTATCAGGTGAGGAACATGCTGTAACATTTTGGAGTTTTCAGGTCAGCCCTTGCTGAATGTCTTTAAAAATACCACACCAGAGGGAATTGTAGATACTCCTGCAGGCAACTTCATGCTCTCAAATTTTAGTTTCTTTTCTGAAGGAAATACTTCCTGATGTGGGAGAAGTGATGAGTCAGGGTAGCACATCTTGGTCTACCTCTAATCCTTCGTGCCTTTGGGAGGCCATTTTTTCAAGACATGCTTTAGTATCAATGACAAAATCAGGTTGTAAAAATGAAGGTGTCATTTTCAGTGTTTGATGTTGTTTTTAAAACTTATGAAGATTATAAACTACAATTAAATGCCTCATATGCTGACTTCTACAATTTCATTGTTTTCTAATATTCTGCTGAAAAGAATTTAAAAGTAATTTAAAATACTTGGTCTAGAGACAAATGCAGGTAAAACTGCTACATAGATGGGAAGATCTTTAGAATTTCTTGCTGGTTTGAAGACTGAATGGTTTTCTTCCTTTGGTAAGAAAGGGGGAAATGCAGTCTTTAAAGAAAACTAACTACAGGTGGATGGCTGCAGGATTCTGCCTGGAATTCTATCCGGTTGATTATGCCAGACTTAGAAATGGGGATCCAGAAAGTATGCAAAGTATGAAAATTCATATAATCAACTTTAGTTCCACTCCTAACTTCACCATATATACAGGTAATGAGTTTGTTGGTTTCAATTAAAAGAAGTCTGATTAGAGAGCATGTTAAAGCTTCTCTAAAAGATAAATATTACAGATGAGCATCATTCTTAATGTAGGTGAAAAAGAAAGCCTGATGTTCTTAAGGATATATGTTTTTTTCTGAGAAGATTGGGTATCTGTCTGGCCATTTATGTACTGGACAGAAAATTGTGAGGGCTTAGGTGCTCACACTTGATGCAGAGATTTGAATTCTTAGTAGCTCTTCATTTTAAGCTCTAGCAAATACTCCAGTGCTGTGATTGAAAGATGTCTTCTATTGACATGGGGATAAAGACTTTTTTTTTTTTAACCGTTTCTGAATATGTTTAAATGTTTTATATTGGCTCTTAATAAATTTGACACTCTAATTTTAAATTAATCTTTAATTTTCACCTTCTTAATTGCTGTGCCCTTGAGGTCAGCCCACCTTGAGCCTGTGTGCAGAAGTCAAGACTTGTCCTTCCTTTGGCTTCCATTTTTTTGAGAGCTGTTTCCAGTTCCAACCTCAGTGGAGCAATAAGCATTTCCAGTTCGGAGGAAAATTTGCGGCTGAAATTTTATGCCTGTTTTTGGAGGCATCTGTCACAAAAGAATTTAGGTTCTAGTCATTTAGCAATGTAGAGAAAGATTTAATCCAAGTTCTCGTATCTTTAGAAGTAGCCCCTAATAATAGTCATCTTTGGGTTTGTTAATTCCAGCTAATGAACTTTGGTGTTGTTAATATAATACTGGAACTGTGAATTTCTTCCCAGGATGGTAATTTTTCATTTTAATGTCTCACTGAGACAGTTTTGTGCAGCTGAATTTGCATTTTCAAAACAAGTTTAATAATGGTAGCATTAACTCTAAAAATGTGTTGTTCCTTTATATTTTCTACTTGCTTGCAAAGTAACAGCAGAATGTTTTATTTATAGGTAATTTAGAAGAGAAATATCCAGTGGTGCTTCAGTTTCTCTTACTGGATGAAAGTGACTTGGAAGCTGATTTGCAGTGAATAATCAGAGAAGCCACACAGCATTTTCTGGAATATTGCATGATTTCATAATGAAGATCTCTCTCCTGCAGCAGATGTATAAGGACGTCCTGGCAGGCATTCCCCTAGCAAGGGAAAACCATTATTATTCCTCTTTAATTAATCTGTGTGTGGAGCAGCCACCAGGAGGAGATGAATCCTGTCATCAGCAGCATCTGCCATCTACTACTGGTGGCGTTGGGAGGCATCAGGGCACTGATTTGTCAGGTGTTGTCCCTGCAACAGATGATTTATCCAACAGCTTTGCCAACATGAGCTCCTCGTTCTGCCCACGGGAGGTGATGCTGCTCCAGCTCACCTTGATCAAACTGATGCTGGCCAAAGCAGAGTCCCAGGAAACTGAACTCCACACGAGATGGAAGTACTGTGAAATCTTCATTCTTCTTCTGAAGGAGGAAAAAATTGACTCAAAATTGGTAACTTCTGAAAGATATTTTTAGGAAAGGAGGAAAAATAAAAAGGGAAGTGTCTTAGATATTTTTCCTTTTTTACCTGTCTCCAGATTCACCTGCTCGGTTCTGATGATCGGCTGTTATCTCACATGGCCTCACGAAGTTTAGCATCTCTTGTGTATTTCCAGCTGAAGAAAGAGGTGAGTGTGGCATCACTTCACAGCTCAAAAAATGAATTAGTGAGTCTGTGCCTGCAGGTTGTTCCATTTGACTGTACAGCCAAGTTTTTCTAGTGTTTGTATTTTCTGAGAAACTTTGTTAGCTGTGTTAGGAGGAGCCTGGAGTATGGAAGGCAAAGAGATATGATGTGTAACAGAAGTGTGGAGTGTTTTTATATATAAAAATCTGGAATTTTATGAAACTCATTTAATGTAAAGTGGGTGTAGATTATAATCATCTCTTTGAGGTTGCAATACAGATATTAAAAAGCCATGATCTAGACTATCAGTTTTACAGTTCCTTGGTATCTGTTGGGTGATGCAGTAGATAGAAATAAATAATAACCTCTTGGATGTTAATAAAATGCTTTGGTGTATGCTCTTGTTTGAATAACCCAATTTGCTGTATGTGAATAGTGAATATGTATTGCAGTCTCCATAGTAGCATCCTGAACACAGATTTATTTCGTAATTATGTTTGTAATATTTCTCACCAAGTTGTCTGGGAATTATGAATTCAGATCTGATCTGTCTACAGAATTATCTGATTTTGGGTAGGTCACATGACATTAGGAGGTTTGGTTTTCCCTCTTTGGAACATACAGATAATTTCAATTGCATGCATATGTTGCTACATGTTTGTCGTTAAAGACCTAATTAATGGCCCAGGACAGACATTGTTTCTACCTGTGTTTTGTCTGTGCCTACATTTGAATCTTTTTAATATACAATTTGAGGTAATTGTGTTATGATTTAATGTAATTTGCATAACTGAGAGCATACGTGATTGGGTTGTGAATTCTTTTCCTTAGGACGCCGTGAATGTGGCGTGGCTGAGCTGTAGCGTGGACGCGCTGCTGGGATTCCCCGGGGACGCGCGGGTGGCCGCTTGCCTGCGGACCCTGGCAGCGATCCTGCGGGAGACGCTGCGGGACGCGCCCGCAGCCCGAGCAGGTACCGGCGGTGCCGCCAGGAGGAGCAACTCTCCCGGAATTCCTCGGGAATAGTTCGGCTCCCCGACACCCCTTCCTTTCCTTATACGGGGGGTGACGAAGTGCTGTCAACATGTAGTGCTTTGGACGTATTTATATGCTGACAGTAGTCACAAACCGATTAATTTCTTATTTACTGATTTATCTGTCACACCGCAGGTCAATAATGTGCCTCTTGTTGCCGCAGGTGTTCTGAAGAAGTTGTTGGCTCCTCTCGATGCAGTGCTTGAGGGATTTTATAATGCCATCCTGCTCCATCATTTTGACAGTCAACACTACACTTCACCTTATTCTGAAGCTTCAAACAATCTGATCAGTTTTATAGATCTGCTAGAAGCACTTTTGGCTTCCAGAATTGAACTGGAATTACCGCTCAGGTGCCAGAGAATTTTATTTATGAAAGTTTCTTATGTCCTCAATGTTATTAGCTCATCAATTCCTTATGTAATCAAGAAGAAATTCATTTTGCTCCTTAAAAAATGTGTCCTTTACAAGTCCAGAGAAGATTTAAAAGGTGGATCCCCGTTCTTACAATCCCCATCTTTGTGTGAGGATATGCTTGCACTGAGTAATGTTGTTCTGCAGGTTGTGAATTTGACTTGGCTTAATCAGATCCCACTCACTGGAAAGTCCAGCTACTTTGGAAGCAGTGAAGCTGCTCCTGGACATGATTCTCAAGTTGGTTCTGACCAAACTGTTCTCAGAGCCTTAAGTCTGGTTGTGCTTAAAGCACTGGAATTCAAGATTCACAACTCTGCAACAGAAGCAGAAATCAAAGGTAACAGTCCATTTAAATTTTGTTCATTAAGCAGCAAGAGTTTCAGAGCTTTCAGATTTAGTAGTCACAGCTCATTAAGACTGTAAATAGATTTCAGCTGAATTAGTAGTGGTAGGAGGGAGAAAGGAGAAGACCCACCCAAGAAACTGCTGTTGCTGTGTCCTGCCTAATTAGTTGTCTCCTTGGATTTTATCAAATCCTTAGTCCTGGAATATGTTGGGCTTGAAACAGCTGCATTTGGGATTGAAATCCAGCCCCTGCCATGGCAGGATACTTTCCATTAGACCAGCTTGCTTCAAGCCCTGTCCAATCTGTCCTGGACACTTGAGGGATGCGGCAGCCACAACTTCCCTGGGCCCTGTGCCAGGGCCTCACCATTCTCTCAGAGAAAAATTTCTTCCTCTTATCCAATCTAACCCTGCCCTCTGGCAGTGGGAAGCCATTCTCCCTTGTCCTCTCCCTCCAGGCCCTTGTCCAAAGTCCCTCTCCAGCTCTTCTGGAGCACCTTTAAGCACTGGAAGGGGCTCTAAGGTCTCCCTGGAGCCTTCTCTTCTCCAGGTCATCACCCCCAACTCTCCCAGCCTGGCCTCAGAGCATCTCTGTGGTCTCCTCTGGACTCACTCCAGCAGCTCCACATCCTCCTTATGTAAATGGTTGTGTTCTTCATCCCGACTGACAGGTCTGGCCCTTCCAATTACCAGTGAGCATTCCTCCCACAGCTGCTCCCTTGGGCTGGTTTGTTGTAGTGAGGGCTTGGGCTGGGCAGGAGAAGGGCAGTGCCAGGGATGGGCTGGGCAGGAGAAGGGCAGTGCCAGGGATGGGCTGGAAAAGGGCAGAGCTACTGCAGTGCCAGGGCTGTCCGGAATGGAATCCCATCTTCCCACCTGCCCTTTTCCCAGGAGAGCACCTGATGTACATCTGATGCTGTATGAATGTGGATGTGCAGATTCTATGATCAAAGCACTGTGCTGTCCCTGGGTTACAGCCCTCATGGAGAAAAATGGAAAAGCAGTTCAGAAGCAGTGTTTCTAGTCAGACACCAGTGAGAATGGGCATTCCTGTATTTATTGATTATGTGGCCCAAAGTAATTTCTGTTTCTTTTGAAATTTTATAGCTCTGTAAATACATTGAGGCATTTTAGTCGACGTTTTAGACATAAATATTATTTTACTTTTATATTTCTATGCTAGGTAGCAAGCCTAAAATAAATTTTTAATTCATCCATGCAAAAGAGCTTCAACTTTCATAAGAGAGCTTGTGAATCTCTTCCCAGATTTTTGGAAGATGTTGTATTTGTGATGTCAGTTGCATTCTTAAAATTTTTTAAGTATTTGTAAAGAATATTTTACTTGTGATCCACCTTTTGAAAAATGTATGGAGACTGAGATTATGCAAGAACAAGTGAAAAGAAAAAATGTAGGCTATATCCATTTTAGATGTCTCTATGAGAATTCTTTCTCAAAGAAAAACATTCTCCTTTTCTAGATTCATGACACAAAAATGAGTTTTTAAATTAGATCCAAACACCCCAACTGTCAAGAGGAATTTCAATCTGAAAGGAATGGTACTTCCTTATTTTAGTGAGATTACAGGAAGTGTTTAAAACAAGCACCTAAATGCTTTAATATGCTAATTTCCCTTCTGGGAAACTGCTTGATCTTGTCATTAACATGGATTAGAGTGGCTTAACTTTAATTAATTTCAGTTTTGAGAGTAATTTCCAGATTTATAGGGAAGAGTTTCAGTCTAAAGTGTAACTATTACTAACAAAGATAATTTCATGTTCCTATTATTTGCTTGGAGGAAAAACAAATCTTAAAGTCAAATATTAAGGAAAATCACGTAGTGATGCAGTAAATAAAATTTATTTCAACGTTGCAGGAAAATTTTGTTTTCTAAAAATTTCTGCGTGCTGTGTTACATCAAAAACTGCTCTATAGTATCTCATTATTATTGAAGGTATAAGTGTTTTGTCTTAAGGGAGTCTCTCTGTAATTGAATACAAAGTGATTTTTATGAGTAAGCTACTGCACTAAACCAGCAAGAACTAATCTATAAAATTTGATGTTGTGATAAATCAGTTGAGCTAAGGAAAAAACAGCATTCATGAACTGTTATGCACTGTTAATTTAAAAAATAAGGAGTGTGTGTTGTTTGGCAATAAAAATGTATAGCAAAGTTCATGGTTAATTTTTTTTCAGGAGACTTTGAGAGTTCCATGTCCCAGCTGCTGATGTTCTGCAAGAATCATGTAAAGCCTTCCTCACAGTCTCACCCAGTTGTGCATCATTGTGAATGGCTCTCCTTGGTTTTCATAGAGCAAGATGATGACATGTGGGAAGCTGCTAAAGCTTTATTACTCATCTATTTAAAATTTGATAGGTCAGTGTACTTTTTTATTTCTGACAGAACTATGAAGAATTGTACTTCAGTGAGGTTACTGTGACGTTCCCATTAGTCACTTTTGTTGGAAGGAAAATTATTTTTTAATCATTTAAACCCCTCCCCACCCCCCCCCCCCCCCCGAGGATGAAGTAATAATGTGTGGTGTAAGAGCTGATAATTTAAGTCTTTTTTGGATGGAAACAGGAGTTGTGAAAGTTTCCTACTAAATAATTTATCATATTCTGTAATTCAGGATAATTGACTTCATGTCTAAAGTAGTGGTTAGACAGATAAAAAGCAAGATTGCTTCCTTACAACACTGAAGGTTTGACAATGGGATATTAGAATTAAACTTCAATAATTCAGGTACTTCTGGCAGAGTTTATAAGGATTGGCCCTATGGGAATTCCAGCTACTTGATAAAAATTATTCTTGCTAACAACTGAAAAGTGTTCTTCATGGATTGGTCCTGGATGTACAATGCTCCATTGTTGTTTAAATTACCAGACAAGATATTATGCTGATTTATACAAGGCTCTCAAGCTTCAAGTGGGAAGATAATGCAAGTAATACCTTAGACACACACACAATTCTTAGACATAACTACAAGTAGGCTTCTCTTCCAGTGTGTGTAACATTTTGAAAGTTAGTCTGAATTCATGTTAACAAAAATATTAAGGTAAGATTGTTTCATATTCATATTAAAGTACAGTTTATGTCCTGTAAGTAATTTTGTTTATTGCAGAAGGTTTTCTAAGGAGTGCCCTTTAAGGCCTGCTTTAAGTGCTTTGGCTTCCTGAGCTCTCCAATGTCCTGGCCCCACCTGCCTTCATTTTTTCTCACTTTGATACAAAAACTTATCTTTTTGTTCTTACTTTTTCACAAAATTTAAAAAAAAAGAACAAGAATCCATCTTCTGGATATTGCTCCTTTTAAAAAAATTTGTAAATTCCCATTAAATTATGTCCTGGCTTACTTTTCAGGTTACGGTGTGATGCTGCTGATAATCTAACCCAAAGAGAGGAGGAATCCTGGAAGTTCCTTGTGCATGCAGGTGGATATAACCCACACTGTATATTTTTATTTTTTCTGGAAAAGATAGCATTTGATTCCACAGTACTTCTAGATTTTTTGATTTCATCAGAAACTTGCTTTCTGGAGTACCTGGTCAGGTACTTAAAGCTTCTTGGGAAAGACTGGCATCAGTTTGTAGATGTCTGTAACCATTTCGATACCAGGCACAGCACTTTCCACCCAGTTTGTTCTGTCAAGCCACCCCACCGAGAAAAGCAAAGCTGCGTGACTGGGGAGAGTTTGCTAAATGCTGTTTGTGCAGCACAACCACAGACTCCGACGTCTTTGGCTCCTTCTCACAAGTGCCCGATGTTTACAGCACAGCAGGGTGATAATGAGGCTGCAGAGTGGAACCGGGCTGACTCACTGACCGGCGCTGATAGCGCGTCCCTGCTGGGTTCTCTTCAAAGACTGGTTAATTATGACAGCTCCGAGGACTCGGAGGTGGAATCAGATGGAAAAGAGTGTTTGGTAAACACTAAACAATTGCCCTCAAACAATGAGGGTGAGGTAAGGAGGAGGGAAACTGGTTGCAGCTGCAGAGATGATGACCAGAATCCACGCACGTCTGAAGTATCGCCTCCGAAACAGAAGGGATCTCCTACCTCATCCTGTTGGACTTGTATGGCATCTCCGCATAACACTGCTCCCCTAAGACTAATGCTTTACAAATCAACAAAGTGTTTGGAAGAGCTGCAAGAGGCTATTTCTAGGTTGCAGAGAAGAATTCTTTTCCCATATAATCCATCTCCATTGTTGAAACTGCTGAGCCACGTTGAGAAGATGAGTAAATCCATGAATCTACAATAATCCAAAGTGTTCTTGTGGGTTTTTTTAACAAGTTCACCAGGAAATATTTCCATGAGATTAATGACTTCTAAAGCTCATGCCTCTTGCACTAGTCAGGACATTTAACCTCAGGCAGGGTGAACATGGATTTGGTTGGCACCCTGAAATCTGGAATTGTATCCAGTGATATGATCCATGACCTGAGGGTCCTAAGCTCATTCATGGTGTGTATGTTAATGTACAGTATATAAGGATTAGTTGTTGGATAGTCAACATTTTGCAATAAATAACTCATGTGAAAGCATTTCAAAAATATATTATATTTAAAGTATTGTCAATTATACTTAATGTCATTCTATTTCTGACTTCATTGCCCAACTGGTAGTGGTTTATGGACTCAGGGCAAAGTAAATGCAACACTTGACTGCTTAGAAGTTGGGCTAAATAAAATAATATAGCTGGGGACAGTTTACTGTTTATCCTGTGTGTTCTGCATTGGTGCATTGCTCAAAGTGGACCTTCAGATGTCTATATTCCTTTAATTAAAAGAAAAAGTGGATGTGAAATTAAAGCATATATTGTCTGTAGAAAAATTTAGTTGAGCATTATATCTTTAATTTAGCTTAGGTGATGCAGAAGTGACATTCCAACAATTTTTGCATCCATCATGCATTTCCTATAAATATAGGATGTATATTTAATAAATTTAAATCAGAAAGAGTTAGAAAGTAAGCGATTCCAGTGCAGTGAGAAGGATATTGAAGATGTTAAATTATTGTATTTATATCTTCTATTAGATGTAATTTGAATAACCGGAAAAGTGAGTGTCTGAGAGCTTGCCTGCGGGAGCAAGTTCAGAGCAGGATCCAAGGCAGTGTGCACTTAGCAGGAAAGCACCTGATGCTGCTGTATTTAACCTGCAGCTTCTAATGATCTGCCAAGGGTTAGGCACTGGGAAAGTACTGACAACAGGAGCACTGGAAAAACCTCAGACCTCTTCAGAGCTGTGGGAAGCAGCGTTCCTTTTAGGATCTGCTCTTGAAGGTAAGTGCTCTGTTCTCACTGAGAACAAGTAAGTGCTCTCTTGCCTTTGAATAGAAATTTAGTCTTAAATTAAAATAGATACTGAGCTAAGATGAATAGACTCTGGAGCAGGTTGCTGACTTTCAAATCTGTGGCTATCTTCTAGATTAGTCTTTAGCCCTGACTAGTGAATCAATGCAACTGGGAGAGGAAGAAAACAGTGTAGCTTATGGGATTCTTTAGCTGGCAGCTCCAGTGCTCTCCAGTGCCACTGGAATGGTATGAATTCACAGACAGGGTGGTTTGGACCTCAGTCTTCCTCCTTCGGGATGACAGCAGTGTTTTAGGTAGGAAGGAGTGATCCTCTTCACTGGCATGAAGGAGATCTGAACATTCTGGGTTTTGTACAGCAAACTCCAATTATGTTTGCCAAACATAATTGGAGTTTGCTGTACCATGGTTTCTTCCTGAGATCGAGACAGCTGTTGTGCAGAGGGGTGAGTGGGAATGCCAAGGAATGGAAACCTTTCCATTCTTGCCTGCAGTTGCCGTAGTTAAGAACTAACCCTGGAGTTGTTCAGGGCAGCAGCATGCCTGGCTTCTCTTTTTTTGAGCCCAGTTATGCTGTAGCTGCTGGGTTGCTCATTTCTGTCAGGACTAAAATCCCTCTGGGCGTGTTCAGAGATGCAGCTCCAGACACTTGGGAACTTCTCAGTTCAAACACAGGAAATGCCATGGGCGAGGTGGTTGAGCAAGATTTTCTCAAGTTCACAATTTTCAAAGTAGGTAGGTACTTATATTTCAGTGAAATCCTCTTCACTGTTCTCACTCCTTTTCTAATCAAACTTTTGCTGACTAGTTTATTTTAATTGAGTAATTCCACTGTTTGCATTGAATATAGGATTGTTCAGCATTTCTTTATCTACACTTTGCCAGTTGGAAGTGTCTAAATTGCAGCAGTATCTCTGACACTGATGTGATAAGCTGAGTGGGAAAGGTGGAATGATGTGATAATTTTGGATAAGTCCCAGTGTGTAGAATGTAGCAAGGAATGCAGGTGCCCATAACTGGATTTTTTTTTTTAAATACAGCAAATCCAACTGAAGTCCAATTATATTTAATTCTTACAGGTTTGAGGCTGATTGTGTGCCCACCTGGTTATTAGAAGTATTAGAAGTTGTTTCCCTTCTCAGATAGCCATTGTTTTAATTCTCAGAATGTTTTAGTTATAAAAGTGGGTAAACATAGTTTGTATCTGGCAACTAGATACCTTAATGTGTTGATATTTTACCATTTATGACCTAAGATGGAGTTAAATTGATGAGTTGAGGTTTTTTATTGCACACAAGTTGAGGGTGAACCATGAAGGTGGATTGGACTTCTTTGGCTGTATTGAGAAAACCAACCACAAAAAAGCACCTTGCTAAAGATTTGTGTTTTAATCAATTGCGGAGTGTAGAAAATGGTTGGGTTAGGTTTTGGTTGGTTTTTTCAATGGTATAAAGTTTTTAGGCACAGCTGTTATTTCATGTCCTAGAACAAATTAATTCAGCTGTGGAGCCTGTTACAATGTTAAGGTAGAACTTGGGAATTTAGTCAGATCAACGTGCCTTACCTTTGGGGATTGATAACTGTCAACTTTTCTTGTATTATTTCAAAGCAGGACACAGAACAATCAGGTGACCTGTGCGACCACAGTTTTCTATCTGAGGATTCCTCCTGAAATGTTCAGTTTGCCATTAATGCAGTTGTTTGGTGGAGTTTACCTTCAACATCAATAGAATAAGTTAAGCTTTAAAGAGGTAAATAGCACTACAAGTTGCTTACAGGATATGCTTTTTAAAAAGAACATTTTTTTAACTTTTTAACTGACTGTAGAGCTTGATTGCAGCTACAACTGAATCCAGGCGATTCCATAACTGTGGTTCTTCAAACTGGATTTTTTCCAATATTATTATGGCTGCTTTCCATTCTGCTTTTAAGACTTGTAGTACAGGTTTTAATCCTGTAATACAAGAATAAAAACCAACCTTGGGAACCTCTATACTTGCAGTACCCTTGAAAAGCTGGGAATAGGGAGCCTTGGTTGTTCCCTGGTTTATCACTGGAGGATAAGCTGTGTTTGTACTTCTTCCAGAGTCAGTCTGGGATGGTTTCTGAAGTCAGTATCAGAGATTTATCACAGTGTCAGTAGGAGTGAATATATTGTGGTCATAACAATGTTACTTCAGTGTGTTTTCCCTTAGAGTTATCCTAATGAGTTTGTAAATTCTTGCTGTATTTTGTTCAACCCTTCTGGGCTGCCTGGTTCACTCGGAAACCTTGTTAGAAGCCAATTGTGTGTCAGAATGGATGGGAGACAGTCTTTTACTGTCCCTACCTCCACAGCAGACATGGAACCTGACTTGATTGAGTAATACCTCAGGGATTTAAGCTTTTCCAAGTCATTATCTTCTTAACTGTTGTGTAAATGAGTTTATTGCTGATAACTGACAGAGATACCCTTTAATGGACCAGCTGACTTGGTGCTGGCTTACATCATGAATGGAAGGAATAAAATATATTTTATAGTAAAAATCTTGCATGGAGAATTACAATATCCTTAGTTATTTCTGATTTCTACTTTTCCTGTACTGCAAAACATGAGTTTTGCCGGTCAGCAGTGTCCTTATAGGGAGATCTGAAAAAAATGTAAATTGTTGGAAAAATAGCACATGCAACCTCAAACATGAGCACTGCTGAATGTTGGCTTCCTTAAAGTTTGTAGGGAAGGTTTGCAGGTTCATATTCTGAAATTGTCAGGAATTCTAGCTGCTAATTGGAGTTGTTCAAGTATCTACCCCATCTCATCCTAGTTCTTGAGAGTTAGGAATTAATTTTAAAATTAATTTTCTATGGAACTTCAGATACATTCTAAATTCCCTTCGCATTTGAGGAAGTAATAGCCACATATTAATACATGAATAATAATTTGAAGTATATTTTGCAAAGGAATGTGTATTGATTAAGTAAAAAAGATAAATGTCAAAATCCTATGTCCATATTTCTTTCCTTGCTGGAAAGGAAAAAGCTTTATCTTCAAGTGTCACCTTCCAGGGTTTGTCAGATCTTGGAGTGACTTTGTCACTACGGATCTTTCATGCAGGGATTTAACTGAAACAGAAATTATTGCTTTCTGGACATTTACCTCTAGTACTTGGCTTTCTTGATAAGATTTATATTCTTCATGAAATTCATGCCTTTCTGCTGACACCATTACAGCTACTGTGAAAGTCAGGCAAAGACCTATTAAGCAGCAAATACCCAACTCAACCAAATTTTTTAGAAAATTATTTATCTCCCCCAGGGAGAATCCAGTATTTGGTCGCCTAAAACAGAGCATTGATCCCTCTAAAGGAGAGTTTCTTCACCTCAGCTAAAATCACTGACCAGTGTGATGCCTCTATTTTCTGTAATTGTCACTTAGAGCTGATGCTTAAGTGGGAATTGCTGAGTGTGAAGCATCAAATGAATTGTCTTTGTTTCACCAAGAAAATACTCATATTTTGTTTTCTGTGGGTGGATAAAGACTGATGTTCCAAGAGTCTCCCAGCAATGTAATCAAGCAATGTTTGCAGCATTGTCTTACGTGCAAGTGTTACAAATTGTTAAGGTTTATTTTCATAATGTTGTAAAACCATGCTTCCAGCTCCAAGGATTCTTTTTTTAAATCCTATATTATTCCTTAATTGTTGGAAATGGATTAAGAAACTCTGAGTTGATTGGATTAATTGTTAAATCTCTTAATGTTGCAGCCAGAAGATTGTGTGAATTATTCTCCTGCATTTTCAGATAGTGGCAGCACACAGGAGTGTTGTTTGGGTGAATTGGCAGTGCTGTAGGTGGAGAGGAAAACGTGACTTTTGCCTTTGTAAATGTACTGGAACAAACTTGGTGGAAGTTCCTTATATAGATAAGCAGTTATATTTGACTTTTCTGGTGTTTCTGGTTAGCAGAAAAGGGATTTTGACAAGTATAGACAAGTTGATGCTAAATCAAGGGAAAGGGAAAAAAAGCCTTCTCACCAAGATAATTTAAAGACAAAACAATTAGGATTTTGTATAAAGAATGTCACAACCAAACTATAAGCAGATGAACTCTTCAGCAAATCACATCTCTGTGTCCCTGCATAGGAGAGGCTTCTTAATTCCTGTCCAGGAGGCTTATTGATACAGGGTGTGTTCAGAATTTAAATGGAATCCAGCCAAGGGGTTGTAAGAGGGCATAATTGTGGTGTTCCTGGCCTTGGTGGTTGAGTGTGTGAGAGAAATTGGTTGGAAGGCAGTGCCCAGATAATGTTTTTTCCTGGAGCCTCTTTTCCTAAGGCATATCCAAAGCCTATGGCAGAGTGGAGCAGCAGCAGAGTGTGTTCCTTCCCTTCACTGACTTTATCCTTCTACTGTTGCTTCTGACATCCTCTCTTGACCCACTTCATCCAAGTCATCTTCCTCCTTAATATTAAGGCATAGATTCTTGAAGTAATAGATTTTCTTTCTGGCTAAAATTCATGGGAATCAAGTTCTGAAACAACAATTGTGAAAGATTTAATTGATTTGAAGATTTTAACCTGTGTGTTCAAATTTTCCTCATTTGCTCCTGCTATGGCATTTGTGGATGATGAATATCTATTGCCTTAATGGTTGCTTCATTCAAAATCAGGTATTTAGTCTTTATTTATGACAGATGGCATTACTAATTAATTACTAACGAGCCTCTCCTTAGTGAACCTTTCCCTGTAAGGATCTGGATTATGAATCAGGTCCTACCTGAGGAAAAAGCTTTTTGAGACTTTTTCATTCCTTTTATGTAAGGGAAGGCTGGCATATTAGGAGAAGGTGTGAATTCCTGTGAAAAGAAGGATCTTAGCTTTTAAACTGCAGATTGCAAGGTTTTGAATTATTATACTGTGACACATGACTTGGAATGATTCATTTTCAGGCTTTTGTTGATCCTTGAGGAGAAGAAAGTACAGGAAGGTCAAGGTTTTTTACTTTAATCTTGAAGGAATTATTGATGGCAAGGAGATGGGTTTCACTGGTGGTGAAGAGAGAATTCAGAGGGCAAATGATTATTACATCAAACTGATTCTTACTTTTCCTCCATGTATACATAGGACTGAGATTTGGTTAACATTGAGACAATCAGGTAGCAAAAATTGTTAAGTACTAACAGACAGTATATTTAGAACATTGATTTTTGGCTCCCCACATTACTTTCATGATTTTTTTTTTTTTTAATATTGAGGGAAACAAAAGAAATCCTTAGGGGTTTTTGGGATGATTTTGGAGTTTTGGTTTTTTTCTTCTCCCTCTGCAGGTGCCACCAACATCTGTGATTCTAGAAGTTTAAGATTTAATACTGTCTCAAAGATTTGCCAGGAGAGTTTTCTCTAGTGAGAAAGTTTACTAATACTATAAACTCTCTTATGTAACTGCTTGGAACCTTAGCTGAAAGCTCACACCCACTGTGTGGATTCACTGTAATTTATTACATGAATTCAGCTGGCTGGAAAAGAAAGAGGCAAATTTTGTGACATTTTTTGAAAGAAGTTAATTTTTCTTACTTTGTTGTAGTACTTTTTTTTTACTGGCAACTTATACATAATTCCCAGTGATAAATAAAATAATTGAGTCAAAGGCATGTCTCCATTATCTAGCTATATTTAGTTATATTATTATACTTAATTATATTAAAGTGTCCAATGAATGAGTAGATAATATGCTGCAAGTAAGGAATAGTAATATTTAAGCTTTTAAATTTTTACTTTCTCAGTGGGATGTGCAGACTAAGGTATTTTTTGTTTGATTTTTTTGTTTTTGTTTTTTTTTTTTTCAGCATTCAAATTTAAGACTCCTGAAGGATAAGCACTGTGGAGGTGCAGAGATAATTGTAAGGTCAGTGGGCACTTTAATCAAGGGGGTATGATTAACTTGTTATTTACCAGAGAATATCTTTAATCTTGTAATAGTATCCTATGTAGGTGGTGCCAGCCTAACAAATGCTGCTCAAAAAGGGTGTAAAAATACATGTTCCTTTTTTTTTTTTTTTTTATTGTAGCAGTCCGATCTTTGCTCCAGTCAACCAAACTTCTTTTTTTTTTTTTTTTTTTGCAATCTATTATAACAGTGAAGAAATTGTGGTTTTAAGCATAAGAAAGATGTTGCTGTCAATTACCTCTTCCATTCCTGGCCCAGCATTGGTCAAGTGATGTATGAATCAGCTTGCTCTAGGCTTTCCTAATTGGCAGAGGGTTCCTAAATCTTCTGCTTGGTTCACAGCAGTGGTTCATTCTGATGTGGAGAAGTTTGGAGATACTTAAAGCAGCAGCCAAGGCATAATCTTTTCTGAAATACTCTTTCATGTTTAGTGTTTCTCTGGTGCATCAGGCTATTGAATACTGCTCCTAGTTCTATGGAAGGACCAAAGACTTGCAGTAGCTGCAGGATATAATACCTAAAATTAAAGAAATGCTGTGTGAAGAAGCCCACAATTTTCTCATGAGGGGAAATAAATGAAGAGGTTCCAAATATTGCCTGGGTCACATCTTTCATGGCAGGCTTACAGATTCAGAGGGAAGTTTCAATATGCTCCAAAGGGGTTGTGGGAAGGAAGGCCTGCAGGAGGGAGCCTCTCCACTGTTATTCCTATAGGTGCCTTCTGTGGTTTAAGAAGTCTTGGAGCCCCGAAGTACTGATGGCTGGGGGCCTTACCAGTTACTGTTCTGTGTTTCTTCCATTCCTGTGCTCTCCCACAGCCATCTGCTCCTGGCTCCCTTCTGACAGAGTGCTGGCTGAGATGGAGCTTTGGCTCAACTCTGACAAGTCTGGTCCCATTTCCTGGGTTGCTGTTTGCTGACAGCAAGCAGGAAGAAAAGGCTAATAAAAGGTTCTCTGCTCCTGGCTCATCTGTGAGGTTCTCTTCTCCACATTAATGTGTCCACCAGAATGCAAAGTAATGCCAGCACTTCTGAAGGCTGTTATTATTTGAAACTGGGGAAAGCTGCTGAGGAATGACTTTCAATTCCTTGATTCCTTAGTCATGGAATTAGAAAAGAAGTTAACAAGCAGGTGAAGTAAAAGTGCCATGTTTCTATGGTATCTCTAACCAAACACACACTCAGTGTGTGTTTTTTTCTGCTTTAAGAATTTCATAAATTCCATTTTAGATCTTCTGAGGAACTGGAACACTTGTTGTAAAACATTCATCAGCTGACTGAGGCAGGAAGTACTGCTGAGAGTGCTCAATAGGAGTAGAAACCTTTCTCTAACTTTATTCAAAACCTCACCCTTCATCTAAAACCTGTCAGAGTGATGTTTTTGGTGCTCCCTTTTCAGCATCCTCCCGTGTGTGTGTGGAGCAATTTACGGTGAGACAAATTCTCATCGTGCAACAGAAGCCACATGACTTCAAACATTTCTTCATCTGCTGTGTTGAAAGGAGCAGGGAAGGCAGTGGCACTGCTGCTGCCGAGTTTCACGGGGTGATGTGGATGACATCAGGATTGCCTTCAGTCAGAAATCTTGAAGTGCAGCTTTGCTGGGTGGGTCTCAGAAGAATTTGAAAGGGTTCTGGAGATAGGGCGTGTTTACCTCGGTCAGAGTAGTGAGTGTGATGCCTCTTCCCTGCTAATGTGCTTATGGTCTCTTTGACTGCAACATCTGAAAGGTAAGAGTTCATTTTTCTGCCCTTTTTTCCTGCTCTGGTTCATTTTGTTGGGTTTTTTCCCCCCGTCCTCACATCAGCCTGTGTTGATTTGTCAGCATGTGCTGGTCTTTAACATTGTTTTATATGGGAAGAGTAGAGTAACTCCTATGAGTAGTCTTCAGATTAAGAAAGGAATGACATTAATGAGATTTTATATTTTGCCACTAAGTATTCCAGCCTATGAGAACTGCTTTCTATTGAAAGAAAAAAGACAATACTGGTTACAGTAGTAGCTTTGCCTTTCCACTTTTTGTACCATTATCCTGTTAAGTGCTTGTAACAGCACTTCTTTCTGGACTGGGAGAAAATTTTCTTAATAGGAATAAATGTTAACTAATGATTTAGATATTACTATTGAATTTTAGTAGTTTGTAAAAGCTACTTCTACATTTTTTCTATGTAAAATGCTAAGGAAAAAAAAAAGTCCTTTACAAAATTCAGTTTAACAGAGGTTTGGTGTTTTGTTTTTTTTTTAATAAGACTTACCCTTTGAAGCTCTTGCAGAAGCTTGTGCTATGAATAACACACCTAAACAAGCTGCCAGAGGGAGTTATTTCATAGTAACGCCGCAACATTGAGAGGGAAGAACCCAAATCATATTGTTGCAATCTATCTATTTCTCACTACCTTCCTAGCTCAGCCCTTCAGCTGGCTGCCAGGGCTGATGAAGAGGCTGTGCTTTAGCTGAAAATTTCCCTTGCATTTGTTAGGACATGAAAAGGATGGCAAAGCGGCTGAAATAATGAAAGACCAGTTCCCTTCTAGCTCCTCCTCCAGGTGTTTTTGTGGGTGGGGAATGTCTGGGCAGGTTGAACTGCAGAGGAGGGATAACCAGGAGGGAGCTGGGAACCCCAGGGAATGGGGGTGCACAGCAGGCTTGGCTCAGGGTGCTGTGGAGATCAACAGATGGCCAAGTGTGAGCCCCTGGTGCACACCAGGGCTGAAGGTTCTCTAGCAAACAGAGTTCTCCAGAGTGCAAATGCACCAATCCTGTCCCTCTCCTGCCTTCCAAGGGCTAATTTAAAACCTTGAGTCATTCACTGAAGGTGGAAAAGGCAAGAGCTTCTCCACCTTCAGGTCTCCTCTCTGGTTTTCACTCTTCTGCTGCCTCCACATGCTCTGTGCTCCCACTGCTTGTCCTGACCTCTGTGTCCCCTGTGCTGCTCAATTCTTCTCTGCCCTTAACTCTCACCTTAAATAAGTGACACAGCTCTGGTAAAATCTCCATGATGTAGCTTAAGCATTTTAAGTTAGACTTCAAGTTTGTATTTCAAACAAAGCTTTGGTAAACTACAAAAAAAAAAAAAAAATCCTTTTTGCATCTTTCCCCAATAGTAAAAATAAGTTAAAAAAAAAAAATAGTAACTAGTAAAAAAAAAGTCTCATAATTTAAAAGATTTTTCTTTACATTCTGATAAGTGTTACTAAGTTCTTAAAGCACCAAGTGTTGTTCCTTTAAGTTTGTTCGAAGTTTTTGGGAATTAATCATCTATTAAGAACCTCTAGCTTGGATAGGGTTAGGTTGTTTTCCAATAACTACTTTTCATCTCAAAATTGTTGCAGTTACTTGAGTTATTTCACAGCTCTCTATTCCACTCTGTTCACGTTATGGATTTTTAAAGCTTAAAAGTGGACATAGTTTGCACTATGAGAGAACTGTATTTCACTTTCCTCAGCAGCCTGCCATCACCTAAAACCATTTTAGCTGCTCAAAAATGATTTACCTTTAAGTAGAGAGAGAGCATGGTGACTTTTACCCAGAAAATGAATGATTTCAAAGAAGTCTGATTCACTTTTTTGTGGTATTGTTTTCCTCTCAGAGAACAGGGAGAAATAAAAACTCACTTGCCACCTTAATTGAGATTTATTCAAAGTGCTATTTTTGCCTGCTCGATATAGTACCCAAGTTACAAGGTAATGTGAAAGAACAGTAAAAAGTAAAATGCTGCAATTTCCTTGTAATGAGGCACTTAAAGTGTTTACAGTTGAGATTTGTACAAGCCAGGGAGTAAATGTGAAGTGAGAGGTCTCACAGCAATCTTAATTCAGCTGTTTGAATTCAGTATTTTAGGGTTTCATTGTAAGAAACTCTGAGTCCAGCAACTCCTTTATTCTGTGCTGCCCCTGCTGCTGTGTGGGCTGGGAGAGGTGTCAGCCCCTCCTGACTCGGGTTGTGCAGAATTCAAGTGGAATCCTGTTTTCCCACTGGCACAAACAAGGTAAGACAGGATGCAAAGAGGTGGCAGCATCAATCCAACATCCTTCCTTCAGTGCCTTCCTCCCCAAACCACCGGTCAGTGTGCAGGACCCATCTCTGCTCAGCTGTTTCATTTGGTAGATGCAGTTGGGATTCTTCACACAATGTCAAAAAAAAAAAAAAAAAAGTCTTTAGCAGAACACAAATCTGCAGCTGAAACTTGTGTGTTAACTCCTGGAAATATTGCTGAGTCTTAAGCAAAACCAAAGCCTGTGATATGGTGGATCTGATCTTTATTTGCTCTTTTAAACCACTGTTATTTCATGTTGAGGATGGACAGCCTGGAACAGCTTTGCTATCTCTTTTGGTATCTGAGGCTTCATTTTTCCCAACAGTCACTGCACCAGCTTTGCCAGTTCTGCCAAATTATGAGGGGAATAGGAGAATTATGTTCTTTTTGCTGATTTCAGTCTTTCCCTGTTACACCTCTGGAGCCTCACTGAGGAGACTAAGGGGATGCTTAGGAGAATTAAGGTTACATTCACTTGCATGTTTGTGTTGTTTATCCATTGGCTTTTGTAATTTATTCAGTAAATAAGGACAGGAAATCCTCCTAATACATCCTGCAAACCTGGATATCTCCTTTTCTTAGTCCTGCCTTTGGAAATGGAGTTTTCAAGCAAGAGCTTTTGTACAGACAATATAATCAAAGCTTTGGCTCAGTTTCTTTTTATTAATTCCTCAGACTGTAGCAGCCAGAAATTCCACTTCAAAGCAGCTCCTGAATTTGTTTTGCAAAATGCAGCCACACAGCTTTTGTCAACCTCAAATTTGCCCCTTTATTTTTTCTTTGTTTAATATCATTAAAAATATGAGGACTTTTTTTATTGAATGTATCCATGGTTCAAGAAACAGCAGTGTGAAAGAAACTTCACATTGGTACTTGCCAACTGTGTGGGCTTTCCTTTAATTACAAAGGATGCAGTTCCTGAAGCAATCATTCCTGATTTTCCTGTTTTGCACTAGCCCATTAAAAGTAGATTAAGCTACAGAGGTGATCCTTCTGTAGCAGAGTGGTGATTTGATTTCTTTACTGGGAGTATTTAATCCCTGAGATGCAGAGGACCTTCAGTTTTTAAAAAATATCTGTATTTTTGACTGACTTTTAGCCCCTTCCAGAGCAAGGATTCCAGTTTTTTCAATTGAAGTGCTCCTGGCAGTGCTGGTCTGTGGATAGGAATCTGGGAAGAGGCAGAGGTTTTTCACCCTAGGCTGAGGTAGGATGAGTCACTCACTTCTGGATTTCTCACTCCTGCCACAGCCTGTGAGGAGAAGCTCTGAGCTCAGCACTCGGAGCTTTAGGCTGGGTAGGACTTAAAGTTTTTAGTTAGAGCTGGTCCCAAATCAGGCCAAGCTTGACCTTTGCATCTGCTGCCTATTCTTTGAAAGCAGCATTTGCAGGGGAGAAAACTTGTGACAGTTTGTGCAGGTAAAAAAACATCTACTGCTGAAATCCAATATCTCCAGCCTGACCCCAGCACTGGGACTGGTGGCCAGAGCTACCCCCTGTTGCTGCCTGATTTGCTGCAGTGAAAACACCCAGTTTAAGGGTAATGAAATTTATGAACAGGCTGCAGACAGATTTGGAGTCTTGTCATTGGTTTTGTCAGAATCACTTGGGCAATGTTCCTCAGGGATGGTCTAACCCCCATGGGCCAGTCCTGGTACAAATACAGGGATTACAGAAGGAAGAGTTTCAGAGAACTCACCTTTTGATTAATCTGTTTAGTGATTGTGAGGAAAGATTTCCCCTGAAATATGTGAACTCTGGATCAGACCTCAAATCCCAGAATTCCCTTCTATTTTAAGATTAGGCATGTACTTAAGAGCTTAGTTTAATAGTGCTATATTAATTAGTTTAATAGGTAATCATATGGTGAGGCATCTATGTGTGGAAGAAAGCCATCAATTAGTGAGATCCAGGAATCCAGTAAGAAAATATTCACTACTGGGCTTTTGTAAGGTTTAAATGTTTTGGGTGCATGTTCAGCTCCAGCCCATCTCACCACAAGGCAACGGAGAGTTCTCCTTCCACTGTGCCTTAACAGACTGGCCTGTTTTAATTACAGCTAGGGATAGCTTGCACTGCACAGTCTAGCTAAAAAATACAGATATATTAGGAAGCAGAACTGTGTAACAAGGCTCTCCCTTGGTCTTCTATTGTCTGCAAGCCTTTCTGTCTGACCCAAAATGTCATGTTTCACAGCCCTGCTTCATTAGGATGGCGCCTGCAAGCTGCTGTTTAGGGTCTGTCAGCAGCCCCAGCATAAATCCCCACTTCCAGGAGTTTATAATTCAGCAGTAAAACATTGCTCTAGGCTGGAACTTGCCATATAAAGTCTCTCAGGAACAATTGTGATTTCCCCCTCCTTTATTTTTGCATTTGCTTATACACACACTATTCATTGAGGAGGTTTTTACTGTCCCCTTCCTGCATTTAAAAAGATTAAATGGCTGGGTTATTAATAGTTCAATTCTGGCTACTGTGCTTGGCCAGTCAATGGATCTGTTAACCAGCTCTGTTTGATGGGTGCAGGTCACTGTTTCACAAACCTGCTCCAAGCTTAGTGGAAACAGCCCAGTGTGGACCAGCAATGATTATTTGGCTGTTAATTAACGTGGGCTCCAGTGTTAATTAAAGCTGTGTCTGGGCCTGGGGTGCTCTGGGCATGTGTCCTGAGCCAGCTGCAGGCAGAATTAAAACGCTGGGAGATGTTTCACAACTAAAAGCATGTTCCCTGGAAGAACATGGCAAGGGCTGAAGTGCTGCCTGACCTTGGCATGGTTTAATCTCAACTCCTGATCCTGTACAGAGATATTGCTGGGAGATCTTCTGATGAGATAAAGATTTGTTTGAAATCATCCTCCCATCTCAACTGTGTCCTCATCAAGGCTATGTTTCAATGAAATAATTTATTTCCTCATGTTTTTCCTGGTTTACAGAAAATTTTAGCATGGTAAAAGTAATTCAAGTTTGCTATTGCTAGTAATCCTGGAAAAGTTATGTGTTTCAGCCTTATGGAAAATGTTATAGTAACTTCTATTTTTCTTCAACATTAGGATATTTTTGTAGGATATATAACTGTAAAGTCCTTACAAATAAATGAGAGAACAGCAATTTCTAAATATATAATGTAGACTGCAAAAATTAAAAATGAGGCTTTTACAAAAATGAAATACTTTAGTCAAAGTGAATTTTTTCCTTCCAGAACTTATTTTAGATATTTGTTCCTGATCTAGGTTTTGGTCACAGTGAAATTATATTATTTCCCACAATTCCCAGAAAAAGCTTGCTATGCACTGTATTTTTTTGCACTTGTTCCTGTGCACAGGTGTTTGCAAATTCAGGGTATATTTCCATTAGCATATTAGACAGCAGTAATTCATCAATGCAATGTCCTCGTTACTATGGAATTGAGGCACTCCCTGGGCCTTCTCATCTCTTTTCCACTCTTCCTCCCACTTATATTTAATTTATAAAGGCAGCCTCAGGAAGATCAGTTCTCATTAGTATGAATATGATAGATAATACATGAGTGTTGCAGGAGATTTGACCAGATACTCAGCAGTGCGGTGTGAGTGACTGGAAGAAGGCAGCAGGTACCTCCCTGTGCAGATTTCAAAGGTCCTGTATTGCTTTATATCAGATCAAAATTTGGCTTTATTATTTTATCTTCTGCTGGGTTATAATCCCACCTCCTTGCTCTAAACCAAGAGGGTTTTAATTTCCTGTATGATTTTTTTTTCCCCTTGAGAACACTGACTTTACTGACTTTACACAAAAAGGCTCAATATGGGGTTTTTCATGCATTTTTTCTTTAATATGTGAGGAATAAATTAAATTCTCTCTTTATTTACTCAGCATGGCACATATATTAAAGACACTCAACAGCTGGTTCTGGTGGGAGAATATCTGGATGCCCATCAACTGCACATGGGCAGATTTTGTAGACCGTGATGGACTTGTGTTTCCCAAACCACATCAGTTGTATGTCACAATCCCATACGCTTTTGTATTGCTGATCATCCGATTCT